AAAACTGCTTGAGCAGCTGCTGGTCGGCATCACTGGAGGAAATTCCATTCCTCTGAATAACTAGGTTTAACAAGGTGTATAACCTCTGAAAGTAATCGGAAGGTTTTTCACCACTGTCCTGGTTTGTGTTTAAGAAGCGAGCAAAGAGCTCGTCGCCGTCTTCGACAGCTGCGTAAGCTGAATCGAGATGTTCAAGGTACGTTTCCGGGTCGGATTTTGGACTAAGAGCTTTAACGATGCTCGCTGCTGGGGCTGACAGACTCTCCACTATTCTTCGTACAATTTGGGACTTGGTGAGTGAAGGATCATTTATGCATAACACTACACTACTACGCCAAGTATCATAGTCAGTTTCAAAAGAAGGGTGTGGAACTCGCCCTGAGAACGGTTTTAGTCTGTATTGTGAAGTAGGCGGAGGGATAACCTCACTGCTTTTAACAATGTGTTCCACAATAACTCGCTGAACCTCAGGTGTGTTTAAAAGATTTGGTGGAATGCAAGGGTTTTGTTTTCCAGTCTCTGTAGGTGGACAATTGTCCTTTGAGTTGTTCATATAGTTAACTTCTGGTGTTAAAGGCAGGGAATATGTAACTTGGTCACTATGGAGCATTGGCTCTAGTTCAGTGACTGGTTCAGATGCATGGGTATCCCTTCCTAAAGATTCCCCAATTTTTGCCAGTTCCTCCATTAGAAGGTCTTTAAATGATTGATTGCTACGCGCAGCTATGTCCCTGAGCTCTGACAGATAGGCATCAGTGGCAGATGTGCTAGTTTCTAGACTGTATGCGCTGGCTAGGTCTTGAATATGAAAGAAAACATCTGGGTTCCTAGTACAAGGTTTGTCATAGGGTAAACATTGTTTCTTTAATTCCTTAACAGTGGCTTCATGTTGAAACTCCACAATAATCTGATCACAGTTTGGTAACTTAATGCGCCTGTTAACTGGTCCGAATCCTTCCATAAACCCAAAGACTTCGTTATCAAGGTCTGTATCAGTTAACCCACTGATTAAAACAGCATTTGAAACTTTGACCTTTTCTGTTTTCACAACTTCCATTTTAAAACACTCAAAAGTACCAATAATGCCAAAATGGCAAACCACTGTGACCTCCAGGCACTCTTATGATGTCAGTCAATGGTTAGCTAAGGTAACAACTCTACAATTCTCCTGGCTGGCTCGCCAAGTTTTATGTAACCGGATTACAGGATACAATAAGATAATTAAAAGAAAAAATAAACAAATGGGCCAATAATTAGGTTCGGGGAGAATTGGAGGTTGTTTAAGAATGACTGGAGTCACGGGTATAGCATGAAACGGTTTATATACTAAATTTTAATAATAATGGGAAATATAACACATAAAGATAACACACAAAAACAGATGAAAAAATCGACAATAGTAAAATGCTCGGTATGAGATTTGATCATATGAGTCACAAGTCAGCCGGCGTCAAGTCAAATCCCCACGCTTGGGGTGAAAGTCAGAGTCCGGTGGTGCGATTTTTTCCTACCACACCGTTGAGATTGTTCACAGAAGAGAGCAGTCTGCTCTTCAGTTACTTGAGATGTCCTGGTTCGTTCAGTGGTTAAGGCTCGCCATCTCCCTCGTCAGGAAGAAATCCAGTTCTCGTTCCAAGTGAGTGATCATAGGAGTCGGGATCAAACCCAAGGAAAAAAAAAAACCCAGCCTGTAAACAACAGGACTGTTAGCGAGTTGGCATCGACCCTTCTCGTCACATCACAGCATAAAGTCTTACAGACTTAAACAAATGCTTCACTCTATTGGCATAGCCAATCATGTTTGGGTTCACAGTTCAACTAACATAACATCAATTTGATTGTCTATTAAAATAATTCTCAGTAGCTCTGGAAATATAATTACATATGACAACAATTGTTCAGCTCAATAGGCTCAGTTAGATTCTATTACTCTACACTATTCAACAAGAAATACATTCATGACAACAAGGATACATTTAGTTGTGTTTCTATACAGCATTGTGACACCTTGTATATCTGTAACACAATAAATAAATAAATAAATAAACAAACAAATAAATAAATAAAATTTTCTATAACAAAATTAAACAAAATATAAATTCTGGTCCTTTGGTCCACCTTTGTAAAATAATTCCTCCCTAATCAGTTAGCTTTTATTTATTTTTATTTATCTATTTTTTTTATTATTAAATGTTTGGTTAAGGGACGCATTGCTAATTCTATGGCGTTAGCTATAATGCCCCTGAGGACCTTGTACATCTAGGCCGTACCACCATTAACTGGCGGTTTGAGCCGTTAACTCCTGGGAATCCCATATGCCGTACCGCCGTTAACTGGCGGTTTGAGCCGTTAACTCCTATATGCCCTACCACCGTTAACTGGTAGTTTGAGATGTTAACTCCTGGGATCTAACGTCTAGCAGCCCACTGCTGTCACCTCGGTTGCTGTAATTAGCTTTTTGAATTTAATAATTTACTGAATTTAATCTCATTCACTCACCAACGCGCTCCAACGGTTCCCTCCTACAGAGGATTGGTTCACTCTGTCGTCTCCACACAAATCTATAAGAATGGAATTAATTTGATAAGCTATTTAAGTTTCCTTTTTTTTTTTAAGTTGCATCGTTAGCTTTTTCTCTTCTTTTTTCTTTACTCACCGCGTTGGTTCCAAGTTCCTAGCTCTTATTAGAAGGAGTCAAGTCCGCCTCTCCCTCTATCTATGCGGCACCCAAATCAGGGTTCTTCACGGCCTCGACCGTTGTTTTTTTTTTCTCTCTCTCTCTCTCTAACCGCTCAGTCTTTGCTTTCTGTATCTGCGTGCTGCACAGCCGTTTGTCTCTCCTCTCGCTCAGCTGCGTCGCACGGTTTTATTTCGCGGAGGCGGGACTTATTTCTCTCAGCCAATGAAATTTCAGATTCCCACCTGGACCAATAGTATACAGCTTTCCTCTTCTGTTTCTGTTAGTGATGTTCAAGATTCTTGTTTTAACCGATGTTTAATATTAAACTCGTTATTTTAGTTATTCACCCTTCCAATAATTCATTATGAAATTATCTATTAGTTAATTAGATATCTATTAATTAGTATTGTTAATTTCCTTAATTTATATTTTATATTTTATCTAAATTGAGGATGGATCATATTAGTAAGCCAATTAGTTAATACCTCATTAAGGTTCTAGCTTCTGGGTTACAGTCAGGATGCCGCTTCCTGTAAATTCATCATCGACCGATCCAAGATGGTAATGCCACTGCTTGTCAGCGCCTATAGGCAGTAGCGGTAACTCGGGGTCTGTCTATGATTATGGTGGCATGATACCACAGAGAGGCGCTACACCTTCTGTTGTCCTGGCAGGGAACTGCATCACTCCTGCAGTGACGGACAAGCCCAAGAGCAAAACGTCTCTGTCAGTGGGTTAGGGATTTGTGGGTCCCTCCCATGCTGAGAAGAATGAATCACGCTTTAGCTTTGAAATGAAATCATTGTTTCCCAAACATTAAATGTTGTCACTTGTACATTAATCTCAGTGTTGCACAAGAACTAGATTTTTTTAAGTTTATTTTTAATTTTGGTAAAAGCCTGTACTTGCTGTTCAACACGTTGTCCTGTTCAGTTAAGCTAACAGGTTAAATGTTAGCTAGCCATAGCTCTGTTTTCAGTTTACAGGAACATTTCTCTGACAGCTTGACAATAAACAGACACATTTTCTGTCAGTAAATCGCGTTCTGCTTGAACAGTTTTAGGTAGGAAACTTTCACATGTAAATTTTCAGGTTGCAGGACTGGTTTTTAATGCATGACTATTTTAACGGTTTACATGAAGAATCACTGTCTGTGAATGAGACGGACAGCACATGGCTTAGCAATTACTCAGACAGCTCATGTGTCTCGATTCACAGGTCTAAACACTGTATTCATCTGTGTGTGTGTGTGTGTGTGTGTGTGTGTATGTGTGTGTGTGTGTGTGTGTGTGTGTGTGTGTGTGTGTGTGTGTGTGTGTGTGTGTGCGCGTGTGTGTGTGCGCGTGTGTGTGTGCGCGTGTGTGTGTGCGCGTGTGTGTGTATTTGTGAGAGAAAGAAAGAGAGGTACTCACAGGCTGGTTCACCTATATTAGGATCATGTGGAGGAAGTTAGAAACCAGCATAGAGACCTATTCACATATTCTGTGTGTGTGTGTGTGTGTGTGTGTGTGTGTGTGTGTGTGTGTGTGTGTGTGTGTGTGTGTGTGTGTGTGTGTGTGTGTTTGCAGGTTGTCATCATCAGAAGTTTCTGTTCATAGGAAACCAAAAATGGCTATAACTGACAAACCATTCAAATTAAAGCTGCAATAGCAAATCTGCAAGGAAATCTAGCTTTTAAACACAAACACGGTCACAGAACACTTAACCCATCATCCCTGAGTCGCGTCCGGCAGATACCGGAACCAGCATTGCCACAGTAATCAAGAAAGCACTAAAACCAGTCGCCATTACCTAGGTCTAAACATATTTTGTTGTCTGTGACTTCTAATAGTGTTTTTCTTCTTTGGACTCTGGTAGTTTGTCCTAAAGCACCAGCTCTCCATGACCCGTATGAGGATTAAGTGGTATAGAAAATGAGTGAGTGAGTTTGTGGGCTATTTTTGTGGTTGCATTACCCTTTATAATAGTTAAAGTGTCTCATGTTGTCCCCTTTGCAGCTCCCTTAACACAAAAGACAGAAGTTTTGACATTTTAAACAATAACCTCTGAACTTTAGTTACAGTTGCATTTCTCACTTGTGTATACCACGAGCTGTGTGATCAGATGGAATTCTTGTGTTAGGTGTGTTTAAAGACCATTCAGCATAACAAACAAGTGGTTTTTCAGGGTTGTGTTTGAGCTATAAAATGTTTAACTTGTTTTTTCATAAAGCACCTAATTTCTGTTGGCTTTGATCACATTTCTGACTAATACTGCAGTTTTCTGACAGTCGGACGGATGGACGACAGAAACACAAACACTTCTTGTTTTTGTCCAACAGGACAGGAACGTTACGGGAACATGACCCGGGTGTATTACAGAGAAGCTGTGGGAGCTCTGGTGGTCTTCGACATGACGAGGCTGTCCACGTTCCAGGCTGTCCTCAAGTGGAAAGGAGATCTGGATTCAAAGGTAAGTGAATTTGCTGCAGTAGACTGTTGTGTCCACTTGGGGGCAGACTATACTCAACCTGTGGCAGTTCCAAGCATGTCTGCTGTTCCACCAGGTCACCCTGAGCAATGGAAGGCCAGTTCCAGCAGTTCTGTTGGCCAACAAATGTGACCAGCGTAGTCACGGTTTGTGTCCCAGACTTCCCAAACTGGACAGCTTCTACCAGGAGCACGGGTTTGTTGGCTGCTTCGAAACCTCTGCCAAGGCAAGACGCAGCTTTTATTTTCAGACACCAAAATGGGCATTAGTTTGTGCTTAACCCTCCCACTGTGACCTCGCGAGGAAAGTTGACTACTGAGCAGGGTTGATGGTTTATCCCTTGGGTCCATGTGGCAGGGGTGAGGAGTGAGCACAACCTCACCCCTGCCACGTGGACCTCAAGGGATAAACCACCAATCCTGCTCAATGGTCAACTTTCCTCGCGGGGTCACCCATAAAGACAGTGGGAGGGTAAAAAGTTTTCAACTTAATGATCAGGTTTGATTCAAATCAGGGGAAAAAAGGACCAAACCTCAAAAAACTAACACGTGTCAGCGAACCTCTCCAGTAGGTGCAGTAGCGAATATCTGCATCCATCTATAAAACACACAGAAGGCTCTGTGATGATTCAGGCATTCCATCTAAAAGGCAGTTCTGAATAAAGAGAAGTACCACCCTACCTTATCATACAGAACCATCTGGAGCACATCTGCTTTATTATCAGAGCAGTAGAGGCTTATCACGATAGAGAAGACACACAGAAACACCATCAGTCATGGCTCAACCTCTGCAGAGCCCAGAGGAGTCAAAACACAGAGCAACCAGGAAGTAAAGCTTGGAGACAACTTCTCTAAGTCCACTTAAATTGCACGAATAATAGCATTCATCTTTGTTTTTGGGATTTTTTTTTATTATTTTCAATAAAGGGTTAACTTTTTCTATTTTCAAATGTAATAAAAGAATATAGGATCAGATTAGATCTTTTGCACTCACTTTGGGACACCCTTTTAGGTGACACCCTGGAGTCAAACACTGCCCCCAAGTTGCCATAAATTAGAACTGGATGCTGTCTTTGCAAATGTAAACAGTTCTGTTGATTTTATTTTTTCCATCAAAATTAAATAATTTTGCTTTTATTGTCATGAAGAGGAGGGTGTCCTCCACGTCTCATTTCTATTATGACCGCCTTCTTTTTTTTACTTCTCCAGAAAAACGATTTTCATAAGTTTATTTAAATCATAATAGACATCCCAATAAATCTTGAGCTGCTGTAATACTCTACTATATATATGTATGTATATATATGTATGTATGTATATATATATATATATATATATATATATATATATATATATATATATATATATATAAATATATAATGCTTTTATTAGACTGCAATAATTTGTGAGAAAATTAAAGAATCTACAAAGATCCTGCTGAAAAAAAACTTTTTTATTGTGTCTTTAATTATCATCTTTATCCTCAGAAGTAGCTGAAAGTTGTCTGTTACAACCCTAATGATCCTCTGTTGTCATCTTCACAAACCTTTTTCTCCAGGATGACACAAACGTTGATGCTGCCATCACGTGTTTGGTGAAGACCATCATAGCTGCAGAGGAGGAGAAATCAACGATTGACACTGCCAGAAGTGACGTTATTATTCTCCCTCGCTTCGACTGTGATAAGAAGGAGAAGGGACTGGGTGGGTGTTCAGGATGCCCCCAAGTAAACCCCAAAACCGAGGAAATGACTAAAAACAGATTATGGATCTGATTATCAGTGGCGGATTTAGCAATTTGGGGGCCCAAGGCGAACACAGACATGGGGCCCCTTACACTAAATTTTTGACAATCTTATCTTTAACTGGATTTGCGAAACTCTCCCCTCTTCTGACATGAGTTATTTTCTCTTTATATTAGTCCTCCTCTTTTTCCTGTATTTCCCGCCCTTTGAGCGCTTTCAATATTTGCTCTGCTTTATTTTTCCTGTCAGTGCTCCTGTGCTTTAGCCTTAGTTTTTTTTTCTATTTTCCATTTTGGTCTGTTTTCCTCCCTTTAAACATTTTCCATAGTCTTTCCTTTCTGCTTCCTTTTGATGTTTACATCGAAAAACAACGTCACTTTCAGAAGTGAAAATAAAAGCTTTTATGAAGCAAGCTAATTCTTTCTCTAATTGGAGCCACTAGGATAACTCCATTTCATGCTTAATGTTTTGACTATCGCTTTGAGTTTGGTACGAACGCTCGCGCCTCTCTTCTTCTTCTTATTTGTGGTCTTATGGCACTTGGCAAACAACAATTTGGTGCATTACCGCCACCAACTGGATTGGAGTGGAATGACTACCAATCACTTCCTGTTTGTGCAACGCTGTCTTAATAACCCTCTTATGACCATAATTATAACAGGGCCGCGTGGTATTTTTTAATCTTATGGCTGTAAAATTGTGTAAAAAAGTGCAAAGTGTGTGTAACTCTTCTCCTTTTTTCAGAGCAACCTCAGCTTTCAGTGTATGAGTTGTATTTAGAATTTATTTCTATTAAAGCCTTTAAAAAATCAGCTTAAAAGTGAAAAAAGCAAAAAACGGATTTGAATTTTTTTACATTTATTACTGAACAGGAACTTGAAAATTACTGGGCAAACAATTTGGAATGAACAATTTAAACTTTGAACTGCATCTATTCTTAAAAAGTTTGAACCTTGGTATTTTTTTTAGAAGTTTTAAGACCATTTATTTTTGTAAAATTTCAGACGTTTTTATTTGATGTGGTAGACCTTGAAGAGTTTCTCTCCAGCTGCAGGCAGAGTCCTGCACACACCTCACACTGCCATGGGGTGCTTCTCTTGCACACCGTGCACTGCTATACCAAAAACTTTTGTTTTAGCAAAAATAATTATTTATTGTAAAAAGATAAGTATTGTTGGAATGAAGCTGAATCTTACAATTAGCAAATAGTTGAGGGTTGTTCAAATAAAAAAATAAAAAAAAAAGACTGAACAAACATTCATACTCTGGTTCACTGGAGATCTGTCCTTCTTCATGGTCACTGTCTTCAGATATAAGCCTTCTGGGACACCTAATGGATCGTGTTGATTTTCTTTGAGGCATTTCCATAATTTCATGCTGGCTTTTTATGCTAATTAGCTTCCCCGTCCCGTTATCCGCTTTCACTGCGGCGCTGCACTCCGTTTCAATCAGGCAGTACAGCAGGATTTCCCCTCATAGCGATATTGTCCATAACTCTGATTGCTTCATGCTATAGATCGTTGGAAAGATGTTTTTATGTACTTTTAGGAACCGTTGGAATTTTTTGAATCTGATCAGCCATTCAAAAGTTATAAAACGGAGCATTTTGGATGACAAACTCAGCACTTCTCTGAATCTGTGTTGTGATTCGTTGTGCTCAAGACAGGGGATCCCGGTGGCTACCGTAATGTATTTACATGCACGAAAAGCCCCATTTTTAATCTTTCCAGCACTTTTGGAATTTTAATGATATCTTGAATGGTTCAGGAATTATGGTGATGAGAAGCATGTCCAATCCCGTCTGCGGTGACAGGTTGGTAATAAGATTATTGTGGCATTAGGGGTGCCGGCGGTCAGGGCTAGGGGGCCCCCAACACAAGGGGGCCCCAGGCAGCCGCCGACCTATGCCTAATGGTAAAACCGCCTCTGCTATCAACCAACTCACCGAGCTGCAGTATTTCTGTGGTCAGGTCTCTCTCCGAGTCCGCTCCACAAGCGGTCAGCCCACACAGCAGCCAGGCGCCGAAGCGGTCAGAGATGCGCCGGGCTGACCACTGGGGAGAACCGGGTGGAAGAATGGAACACAGAAGTGTCCCTCCGAGAGCTCCGTCATATTTCAACTAGGGATGAGCGAGTACACCACTATCTGTATCTGTATCTGTTCAACCAACTAAATTATCTGTATCTGTCCTCAGAATGGGCGTGGCATAACCCGGAAGTGGGCGTGGTTCACATCAATATATTATTTTAAGTCTGAAATTGATATGGAATGATCAGAAGTTGATATGTGTATTGTTTATTTGAAAACTATTTACGGAGCAGTCTCAGAATTGAGATTAAATATTTTTGATCATAATAGTGAAGAAACTATTACAGAACAAGTGTTTCAATAAAATCAGAACATTAATATTTGAGTGCATGGATTAATACATCTGAACTCATGCAGTAGGAACTAGGAAATATGAAATGCTAGAACCAGACACAACTTTATGTATATTTTTTTATTTTAATTTGATTAAACTGATTTTTTTCTTAACGTTCTTGGCATTTTGCCCCACACAAAGTTAAACAAAACAATGTTGATTAAGGTGTGTGTGTGTCTGAGAGAGAGAGAGGGTGAGAGGGAGAGAGATGGAGTTAAAAAAAAAACCAACCAGAGCGGAGGTAGTGAGTGACTGATGCAGAATGTCAGCTCTGTCTTGTCAAATGCACCATGTAAGTTACGAAAAAAGTAACTTTAAATATTCAACCGAAAAAGAGGCGAGCTGAAGAAAACCTAGGGAAAACTGAAGAAACGTGAGCAACAGTGAAGCAATCACAGCGAGATCCGTTACTGTCTGTGTGTGTGCGTGGATGAGCTGGACGGACTGCGCTCCCGGCGGGCTAGAGAGTTTTGTGTGTAGGGAGGGGCAGGTGCTCTATGTGACTGGCCAATCACAGCGTGAAGACAGTCAGTTACCCAATGAGGATTTTCCTTCAGCACGATTACAGATATTTACGAGGTTTACTCATTTCATGCTCGTATTCGTCAAAAATGCTTTATCCGTACCCATTTTTATGTTAAATGCATTGGGTTTTACCCATCAACATATACCCTATTAATTATTTTACTGTATATTACATCTTGAATTCATGGTTAAACAGTACACATTAAAATGGTAGTTTTCTGATAAGCTCAGCTAGTGCAAAAGCGGCAGTGACCTAAAATACATAAATATAATTTTACTTACTAGAAAAAATGGAGACTCGTTGGACGCTCTATTAGTGCAATTAATACCACAGCAAGTCATTTTGTCCAACAATTACACAAATAATATCCAAAATGAATGCACAAACGCTACAACTACTGGTCTAATTTCAGAGACTAAAAATCGCGGAACAGTTTTCAGGCGAGACCGAGGCTCTACTGAGGCCTTTCCACGGAGCTAGCTCTGTGGTCACGTGGGTCTGAGGCGGCAGTCACGTGGGTCTGATGCTCATTATTTATACAGAATTTTAGGCATTTGATACATTTAAACAGAAGAGTGAGAAAAAAATTCACCCCCCTCAGAGTTGTCATGAGTGTAAACTAGATCATTTAAACCAAAAACATGTTTTGGTACCAGGCTGTAAACATGTTTATTTCTGCTGTGAAATTGGTATTTTTAACATGGGAGTCAATGAGGATTTGCTTGCTTCTGACACCAGCCCCCAGCGGATGAGGGTGGAACTGCAATTTATTTCACTTCCGGGTTTGCTTCAATTTTTGAACGCATTGTGGGGGCTTGGGAGAAACAAAAAACACAACCTGCACCAAACCTAGGTACATCTGAGAAGGTAGTAGAAGGTAGAAGTTTACAACACTGTTGCATTAAGGATTGGCCACATACATATGAACTGATCAATAAGATGTGATAATTCCATGTAAATATGAAATATCAATCTGATTGGCCTTTGAATGTTTAATCAGAAGACTTTAGTTTCTTGACTTATTCGGGGAACATACAGAAACAAACACAATTATTGTGTTGAAAGTCTTTTTATCTCTTAAAAATGTTAAAAAATATGCTTTTGTCTAACATGTCTGGCTGCCAGTCAAATTCAATTTAATATCCTGGTTCTGGTTTTAGGTCCTTACATGGACAAGCTCCATCATACAGTGGTGATCTTCTCAGTCCCTACACCCCCAGCAGGTCCCTGAGGTCCATTGACCAAAGCCTACTGGTTGTGCAGCGCACCAGGCTCGGGAACTCTCTCCCCCTGAGCCTGAGATCATTGGACTCAGTGGTCTCCTTTAAAAAGCAGCTGAAATCTCACCAGTTCAGGCTGGCTTTGATGTGACCTTCATCATCACCCTCCTTATTCGGCCCGGGATCCACCAATTTCTCTCTTTCCTCTTCGTTTTCGCATTCCCTTTCCTTACATTTTAAATCACAATTATTAGAAATTTTTCAAAATCTTTTTTATATTTGAAATTTTTTGTTCTTGTGAAGCGCGTCTGATTTTTATCTTGAGAGGAGCTATATAAAAATTGTTTCCTTTTCTTTCTAATTAATATAGGCCATTTTAATGGATGTTATTGTTCCTTTATGCCCAAATCATATCTGTAGAAATCATTACTTCACAGGAAATTTTTGGCCAAGCTGTGTGATCGGTATCAGTAATAAACATTCTTGGAATTCGTGATTGGAAGCATAAAACTTGATCGGAGCATCCCTAGATATGGCTTTTCACATGTATGTACATTTTATTTATATAGCACTCATCACAGACAGAAAATCACATGGTGTTTCACATAGATCAAAACAAATCATTAAGTCATAAAATCAGTGATCTTAAAACAGAAATAAAAATCTAAGTCACATATTTATAAAATACCATTAAACAAATGAAAGATGATTACAAATTTGAGTTAAAAATAAGAAAATACAATATTTAGAAATAGCAGCTTTAAATGAAAGGGTCTTCTGCTGTTTTTTTTAAAAGTGTCCAGACTGTCAAGACTACGTAAGGCTAAAAGGAGGACCACTCCAATGTCAGGGTGCAACAGTCTGGAAGGAGCCATCACCTGGACTTCTATAATTGGTCTTTGGAACTTCTAGAAGGTTCTAGTTTGTGGACCTGAGGGCTCGGGTTGGAGTATGAGGCTTTAGCAATTCAGTGATATAATGTGAGTTTTCATGTGTTTAGCCGAGTGACTACTGTCACTAAAACATTTACCACAAGTTTTACATTTAAATGGCTTCTCACCTGTGTGAGTTCTCATGTGTGTAGTCAAGTTACCACTGCGACTAAAACATTTACCACAAGTTTTACATGGATATGGCTTTTCACCTGTGTGAGTTCTCATGTGTGTAGTCAAGGAACTACTGACACTAAAACATTTACCACAAGTTTTACATGAATATGGCTTTTCACCTGTGTGAGTTCTCATGTGTGTAGTCAAGGAACTACTGTCTCTAAAACATTTACCACAAGTTTTACATGAATATGGCTTCTCACCTGTGTGAATCCTCATGTGTTTAGTCAAGGAATCACTGTCACTAAAACATTTACCACAAGTTTTACATGAATATGGCTTCTCACCTGTGTGAATTCTCATGTGATAAATCAAAGCAGCACTCTGTGAGAAACATTTACCACAACTTTTACAATGAAATGGCTTTTCACCTGTGTGAGTTCTCATGTGTGTAGTCAAGTGACTACTGTCACTAAAACATTTACCACACATTTTACATGGATATGGCTTCTCACCTGTGTGAGTTCTCATGTGTGTAGTCAGGAAACCACTGTCACTAAAACATTTACCACACATTTTACATGGATATGGCTTTTCACCTGTGTGAGTTCTCATGTGTGTAGTCAAGTGACTACTGTCACTAAAACATTTACCACACATTTTACATGGATATGGCTTCTCACCTGTGTGAGTTCTCATGTGTTTAGCCAAGTTACCACTGTCACTAAAACATTTACCACAAGTTTTACATGGATATGGCTTCTCACCTGTGTGAGTTCTCATGTGTTTAGTCAAGTTACCTCTGACACTAAAACATTTACCACAAGTTTTACATGGATATGGCTTCTCACCTGAGTGAGCCCTCTTGTGCCTTTTTTGTTTTTTATCATCTACACTGTCTCTGTGATCTCTGGATTGGCATATTTTATTACGTGTCAGTTCTTCATTGCTGTTTGATTCTGAGTTTTCTTTCCTGCATCCACCCTGATCTTGGTTCTGAGCTTCTGTAGTACTCTGACACAAGGGTTGGTTCTTGTTTGGTTCTGGTTCATGACAGTATGATTCTTCAGAAGGAGAAGGCTCCATGAAGGTAACAACTTCCTGCTTCAGAAGAAACTGCCCTTCATGCTGATGGATAAGGAGTTCTTGTTGTTCCTCTTTCATCAGTGGAGGTTCTGGTTCCTTCTGGTCCAAACTGGAGGTCCATTTCTGTTTAGAGAGCTGCTGGTCAGTCAGAGCCATCTTGTTTTCCCAGACATGGTGCTGTGGAAGTTCTGGACAGGATAAAAGACAAAACAAAATGTAGATTAATGTGAATTAAAAAAAATCTCGTGTTTGGACAAAGCTTCTCATTCAACGTGTTTTCTTTATTTTCATGACCATTTACATTGGGCGATTCTAACTGAAGGCATTAAAATTATGAATGAATACATGTGGAGTTATGTACTTAACCAAAACGGTGAAATAACTGAAAACATGTTTTATATTCTATTTTCTTCAAAATAGTCACCCTTTGCTCTGATTACTGCTTTGCACACTCTTGGCATTCTCTTGATGATCTTCAAGAGGGAGTCACCTGAAATGTTTTTCCAACTGTCTTGAAGAAGTTCCCAGAGGTGTTTAGCACTTGTTGGCCCCTTTGTAAATGGTCATGAAAATAAAGAAAACATATTGAATGAGAAGGTATATATACATACACTCACACACACACACACACATATATATATATATATATATATATATATATATATATATATATATATATATATATATATATATATATATATATATATATATATATATAAATTGTAGCATCACGAAATGTCCTGTTTTTGGCCTAAAAGGTCATGCTCTGCTGCGTCTGCTCGAGCGGAGACGTGATGTCTCCGTCGGGAGGCCTAATCTACATGAGATATTGGCCCAAGGCCTTTCATGCCCTCTGCTCATCTAAACTGCTTCACCTCCTTACAGTTCAAGACAAGACGGAGAACTCTTTTGATAAATACATAAACAACGTTTGTTATTGCAAATTATAATGTGAATCAGATGTTCAATCATTTTGTGAAATGACAATGTATTACTTGATATTATAATCCTGTGATCAGTAGTTGTTACGTGCCGTGTCCCTTTTCGGCCACAAGATGGCCTCAGTGGCCTTTGTCTCGCCCGTCTCCGGATGCCCAGCTGTTCCAAATCATTGATGATCACTTGGCAGCAGTTAAAAGCTGCTCCCAGCCACCAGTTCGAGGAGAAGGTCAAGGAAAGTGTAGACTGGGAACAGTTTATACTATTCTCTTCTCCTCGGTTCGCTTTTGGTACAACTCGGTTCACTCGCTAGTCTTCGGTTTGCTCTCCATAGGATTTCAGATTTGGATTTCGGATTAGACCATTTGGCGTATAGACTTCGGACCGGCTTTAGACCCTGACCTCGGATCTCCCCTTTTGAATATATATTTATTATTCTTGGTTTTCTTCCCACCCCCTTCTGGGGTGGCGTTTTCAGTTTCTCCCTTTTTAAATATAGCTCCTTTTGTTTTGTATATAGCATTGTTTTTTGGACTCTTTGTAAATATTCCATTCATTTTGTAATAAATCCCTTGTTTTTTAGCGACACAGCACTTTGTGTTTATATTTATGTAAATAAATGTTGTTTTGTTACTTTTAACACGAGAACATGCGTCCTCAATTGTTACCCCAGGCCCCCTAGACAGCCTGGATCGTAACCCGGTCCTACGCCGGTACGGATGCACCCCTACCACGCCAGTCCCAATAAGCGTGAGTTCATGAAGCAAGATGTAAATTACTTACTCATGAACAGCCTAGCAAAACCAAGCACCAGCTCATGGCGTTCGTCCTGCCTGTTAGAAGATAAACCTGATGGTACTTATAGATTTGTCACAGATTATCGTAAGCTAAACGCTGCCACTGTTCCTGACTCGTTCCCGTTACCTCGGATTGACGACTGTGTCGATAGTGTGGGGGCGGCGACTTTTGTGTCTAGACTGGACCTTTTAAAAGGGTACTGGCAAGTCCCGTTAACCCCTTTTGCATCTAAGGTCTCTGCTTTTGTGACTCCGAATAATCTGTTGCAGTACACGGTGTTGCCCTTTGGCATGAGAAATGCTCCGGCTACCTTCCAGAGGCTCGTAAACCACGTGTTGGGTGATATACCCTGTTTTAGCGCGTATCTGGATGACACTGTAGTTTATACATCGTCGTGGGATCTGCATATCCAGACTCTTCAGCAAGTGTTCGATTGCCTGTAATCTGCTAACCTCATTCTGAATCTAGCTAAATGTGAGTTTGTGAAAGCCACGGTCCGCTACCTAGGAAAAGAAGTTGGTCATGGCCAGGTACGGGCCTTATCTGATAAGATCCAAGCCATGGTCTCGTTTCCGCCTCAAACCACCCACCGTGAGCTTCGACGATTTCTCGACATGGCTGGGTTCTATAGATGTTTCTGCTGCAACTTCTCAGTGGTAGCTCAGCCCCTCACTGATACGCTCAGTACTCGTGTCCCTTTCTCCTGGACCCCGGAGTGCCTAAGTGATTTTGTGTCTGCAAAAATTACTCTGTTGTGCTCCTGTCTCAGCTGCTCCAGATCTCACCCGACCTTTCAAGTTGGAGGTTGACGCCAGCCAAGCAGGGGCTGGAGCTGTCCTAATCCAGGAGGATGCCAATAGACTTGGTCACCCCGTGTGCTACTTTTGCCAGAAATTCAACCAAGCTCAACTAAACTACTCTACAATAGAAAAGGAAACAATAGCTCTCATCTGGGCTCTGCAACATTTCCATGTTTATGTTGGGAACAGTAAATTTGCCACTCGTTTTCACAGATCACACCCCCCTCGTCTTCTTGTCCCGTATTTACAATCACAACCAGCGGCTGATGCGGTGGGCACTTTTGCTACAAGAATTCAACTTGGAGATTCGGCACAAGAAGGGATCTGAGAACATCATCGCTGACGCTTTATCACGCGGCTTTACTCATGAGGCTCCCTTGTAGGCTTTAGTTTTTAGAGGTCGGATCCTCCTATAAGGCTAGTGTAGTCTGTGAAAGCAGACATCTCGGGAACACTCCGCTGGGGAACAGCGCTGCGTGATTATTTGTGTTTAATCTGCCCGCCTTGAGAAGATCCAGGGGTAGTTAGTTAGTTTTTTTTTTTTTGTGTGTTTAGATAGCGGGAGACCTAGTTTCTTTTGAATAAATGTTGGCCCTTTTAAGACCCCCCATTTGTACTCTGAAGAGTGGGGGTGTTACGTGCCGTGTCCCTTTTCGCCAACAAGATGGCCTCAGTGACCTTTGTCTCGCCCGTCTCCCGATGCCCAGCTGTTCCAAACCATTGATGATCACTTGGCAGCAGTTAAAAGCTGCTCCCAGCCACCAGTTTGAGGAGAAGGTCAAGGGTAGTGTAGACTGGGAACAGTTTATACTATTCTCTTCTCCTCGGTTCGCTTTTGGTACAACTCGGTTCACTCGCTAGTCTTCGGTTTGCTCTCAATAGGATTTCGGATTTGGATTTAGGATTAGACCATTTGGCGTATAGACTTCGGACCAGCTTTAGACCCTGACCTCGGATCTCCCCTTTTGAATATATATTTATTATTCTCGGTTTTCTTCCCACCCCCTTCTGGGGTGGCGTTTTCCGTTTCTCCCTTTTGAAATATAGCTCCTTTTGTTTTGTATATAGTATTGTTTTTTGGATTCTTTGTAAATATTCCATTCATTTTAGGGCTGCACAATATATCGAAAAATTATCGTCATCACGATAACAGGACGTGCGATAGGCCCATGACAAAGCATGTCAAAAACGGCGATAAATGTTTGGTTCAAACATTTCCATCCGTGTCATACATCAACTTTTTGTAAACCAGCTCTGTTTTTTACGCTGAAGTATTATTTGACCAATCAAATGTAGCCCTTCTGATATGCGGCCAATCAGATGGGTCCGTTCACGTAATACGCCCGCCCCCTACGTAGACCCTTACCCCAAAATTCCACTATCTCCGCTCCGCCTCCGCTTTCCGCTGCCGCTCGCTTCCCTTGTTCATCATGCTGGCTCAGAGCAATGAACGCACTTTTTGCTGAGGTTTCTGGAATCAGCGCTGCTTTCAAACGTGAACGCGAGTCCGCTCGGTGTCGTTAAGCAGCTGATAATAACCTAGCTGACTCCGACACGTGCAGGTGAACCAACCCACCTACCTCCATGTCGCAGTGTTCCACGGACTCCGGTTAGCTTCCAGCTAAAATGCTACAGCACTCTCCTCCCAGTCCCACCCTGCTAAAGAGGGCCTGGAAAAGTTCCCCCACACATCAAAGTGAGTTTTCATTTATGAGCTTTTATAACCTTGTTAATCAGGATAGTTTATTTGCTGCTGCACATAAACTGTCAGTCAGAAGCTCTGCTAGCCAGTTATCTTAAGAGGAGCTAGTTCAATTTGTTAGCTTGTCATCAGAATCATAGTTGCAGTTTCATCATATGAGCTGCTTTTTAAGATCTAGGTAAACTTGTTCAATTTGGGGTTAAAAACAAACGTTTTCACATATTTTCCATGTAGTTTTTTTTTTGCCTGTTAATCTTCTGAAAGGTAGACAATTGTTTTTCTCTTTCCCTCAGAAAATCTTAATATTCTCCTAGTTTGGCCCAGCACAGATCACTTCCCAATTGCAGCAACAGCCTTATATCATAACCACATAAGTGGAGAAAATGTTCAGTAGCAATGAGAGAATTTGCTGTTGCATTTAAGTGATGTTAACTATTATTTAACATTTAAACTTATTTTCTGAATTTTTATTTTTTTCAAAAGGGTTAGGGTTAGGGTTTCTGTATTTGGAGCATCAGAAAAAGTTTTATGGTGGAGGTGATGTTTTAAAGTCACTGAGAAACTGCATGCATGCAGTTTGTTGTTTTGCTGCTAATACCAGAGGTGGAAAGAGTACTAAAATTTCCCATTTAAGTACGAGTACCAATACTTTGATAATTTTTTACTCAATTACAAGCAAAAGTACTTGCCTAAATTTTTACTCAAGTAAAAGTAAAAAGTATCGTAAACAAAATGTACTCAAAGTAAAAGTTACTTAATTACATTTTTGTCAGCGTAAAGATGGCTACATCTAAGTAGTGCTAAATCACAACGCCAGTTCACAATTCACTCGTGTGTGCGCACACACATACACTCAAACACGCACAGCTTGAAGGAGGGATTTCTATCCAATCAGTGAGAACAGGACGTGCACATTGATTGGACGAGGTTTTTCTAGGATGGTAAGTTT